GTCAAAAAACGAATTTCTTAACACTTGACCTATAGGCAACATCATGATAGATGAAGGAAAGATAGAAATTGTTAAAAAGTGCATCTTACTTGGATCCAGAGTAGATGCCCTTGGTACCACCAGTCAGTAAATTATGAGATGTATTGCACTGGGAAAGTCTTCAGTCAGGGATCTCTTATTATCAAGGAGCAATGATGTAAGTTTGAGGACTAAGATGCATCTGATTCAGACCATGGTCTTTACAATCACTTGTTATGCACCTGAGCAGGACGATGAATAAGGATGACAGAAGATTTGTTGCCTCTGAGCTGTGGTGTTGAAGAAGAGCACTGAACATCCCATGGATTTAAAAAAGAACAAACAAATGCCTTGTAGAAAGTGCAACTAGAGTGCTCCTTGGAGGCAAAGATGATAAAGCTTCTATTCACATGTGAAGGGTGATATCATGCTTGGAAAGTGGAGGTCATCAAGAGAAACAAAGATACTCAACGAGTTGCATTGATAGTCACTGCTCCAGTGGACTCCAGTATGTCAGGAAGTGTAAGAATGGCACAAAATAGGACAGGGTTCATATCTGTTTATTGGGTTACCATGGTTCATATTTGACTTGACACCTAACAACAACAAACTGACAGGTGGCCATTGCATGTGATATTCTTCCAGCTCATTAACTATTACTGTGAGCCTCTCAATAGGGTATTTAAAAATGAGTAAGAATTAATGCATCATATCCTTGAGGAGTTTCTATTTCAAGAATAATACAAGAGTTATAATTCATGGAAAGGGAATGACAAAAAAAGAAAACAGAAAAAGTCAAAGAACTCTTACTCAGAAATAATTTGAATTTCATCTTGAACTAACCCCGGTTTAGTAGCTGTGGCTCAAGGTTACAAGGCTGGTGGGACTCCTGAGACAAGTAAAATTGTTGTGAATGAAATACACAGTAGGTCAGAGAGTAATATTAGAAGGCACACAGATTTTCTGTGAGAGGAAGCTTTTGAATAGACTGGGGGGAAAATAGATGGGAGAAGAAAGCAGAGAAGTTACAAATGAACAAACAGAACAATCTAGGCTAGCCATCTCTGACAGGAGTTAAGAAAACAGTTTTTGTCATAGATATGATCAGAGCTAAGCTGGAATGTTTTTACATGTTTTAATTAGCAGAGACCTCTGCAGACATTTTACAAAGGCCAACAAGTCATCCATTCACTTCAGAAGGATGACTCTGCCAAATATAGAAATGAAAGATGAAAGACCAGTAGCAGAATGTGATTAAAAAAGATGAACTTTGCAATCCTTTAGGCAAAGGTAATGAGGGATTTCGGATGATAAAGAGAAAGTAGAAGAGAGGTAGAAGTGTGAACTTGGTTACAATGAGTTCTGAGCACAAAACATTCATTCATGCATTTCCATCAGAAAGTGGTAATCTCTAAAATAAGCTTCAATATCTATGTACCTCAACTGTAAATGGCATTTCAATAAATCAAAGTAAAAGACTATAACTACAGTTCTATTTCTAAAACTTCAAAACAAACAAAATTCAAAATTCTGCTGTGGAGTATAATTCTGATTCTCCATCCTGTTTCTAAGGCTTTTGTCTTATTGGGAGATGACTGTCATCTTTTCTCCTGAAGAGCTGCCTGGTAGGTTCAAATCACTTGTCTGACACATTAGATTCTATACCATCATAGGGTCTCGCATAGCTAAGTTCAATTAAATGCAACAAATATTCCTCAAGGGCTTACAATATTAAAAAGTGGAAGGTTTGAATTTTATTGTTATTTTCCCCCCCTCCGCCACTGTCTCAATCCTGATTACACTGATTTATCAGTTTTTTGTTGTGTTTTTGTTGCTGGTTTATGTGTGTACTACAAATCAGATCTGACTGGTACAGGAGGAGCTTGTCCCTCCTTCTTTAGCAGAGCATTTGGTGGATTGGAACCGTGAACCTCTGGGGTTGCAGTGCACCTTCTTGTCACTAGTTCACCAGTTGTTGTTATGTGCTGTCGAGTTGTTTGCGACTCATAGCGACCCTATGCATAACAGCCCTAAACTCTGCTCTATCCTGCGCCAACCGCACTGCCTCTGACACACCCATCCCGACTACCCCAGTCACCGAATCAATCCATCTCATAGAGGGTTTTCCCCTCCTGCGCTGTCCCTCCACCCTCCCAAGCATGATGTCCCTCTCCAAGGACCCGTCCCTCCTGGTAACATGTCCAAAGTATGTCAGACGAAGCCCCAGAAAAAAAACAAAACAAAACAAAAACAGACAGATAAATAAGCGAGCTCTGGTGGCCTCCTGCTCCTTGGAGGCCACCAGAGCTCGTTTATTTATCTGTTTTGTTTTGTTTTATTTATCTGTTTTTTTAATCTGTTTTTTTTATCAGGTATTTCTCCCACAGGAAGCTTTCCCTGAACTACCAGTCTAACCTAAAGCTTCCTCTCTGCTTGCCTGTGGTGCCTACAAACCAAATATAACGGTTCTTGTTTATTAGAAGGGATCTCTGCCAGCTTATCTAGACCATAGGGTGTTGCACTACTAACACAAAGGTTATGCCTCCATGAGAGAAAGATGAGTAAACATCTTTTCAAATTACAATCCAAGAAATCCAATAAAGTTTCTATCAGTTGATTCCAATCAATAGCAGTGGCATAATAAGGAAGTGATTATATTATATTGACAGTATCTGCTTATGTGTACATTTTCATTACTAAATTGCCTCAAAGTAAGGATTACAATTTCTCATACATTTTTTGTATGTGTAGAGCCTAGCTAGCATAGCTTATTTAGAAATGTCTACTCAAGCTTCTCAAATTTCAGCCTAGTAATGTTTATTTCAAAGCAAAATAAACATGTACTGATACACACTGACTTAAAATATTGAACTTCTTCTGGGTTATGATTAAAAATAAATTCGAATAACAGCAGAGAAATGAAATAGTACACATTTCCACGTATATTGAGTTTGACACAATTTGGAATGAAGTTATAAATAAACCTTTATGAAAGGTTTAGATCTGTTAGAGAAAAAAGAAAAGGAAGGCGAGGAGAGAAAAATTTAGAGTCAAACACTGCACTAGAGCTTGACTAAAAATACAGCGAAATGATAAACAAGTTTTATTTAGTTGATTCCAATTCAGAGTCACCCTATGTGTATCAGAGTACAACTGTACTTCATTGGATTTTCTATGGCTAGTTTTTCACAACTAGATTTCCAAGCCTCCATTTTGAGTGTTGAAAAGCTTTTAATTTGAATTACATGAATAATTAGAAAAATACCATTATTCTAAGTCCAGAGATTTATTTTTATTTGCCAAAAGTATTTTTTGCGTGTAATTTCTGAATATGTGTGGTCTTGTCTTAGCCTAGCATAGAAATTTGTATCTAAGAGCGCTGTCATTATGCAATTTTAACAGCAGAAACTAAAGATTGTCAATTCTATTCTTAGCACTATACTAATTTACTAAACCCAGGATACTGGACTCAAATGTTGTGCCTGGTAGGAATCTGGAATAATGTGTCTTGTTTTTCATGTGCTTTATAAGGACCCGATGATGATTGTTGAACATCTCTGATGAAGCACTTTAAAAGGAAATGTTAATTATTCTTCTCCTGTCAAATGCTGTAATTTAAAAAATTTGCTTCTTTATATAGTGTGGTGGTTAGAATGTGTAGCTGCTAGTAAAAATATTAGTAGTTCAAAACTTCTCCCGAGAGAAAGATGCTTTTGTGAAGATTTATAGCCTTTAAAACCTTATGTTTTCCATTCATTCTATTCATTCCTACAATGTTGTTATAAATAGGAACCCATTTGCTAGTAGGGGTTTGTTTTAGATTTTTCATAAGATTTTTAGAAAAAGGAGAAAGTTGAAGCTCTGAAAACTCTGTAACAAATGTGATTTCAGTGAAGAAACATGTATGAAAAAGGATCTAAAATGTATGAAAAAAGATCTAAAAGCTCATTGAATATGGACCAGACTATGCAACAAGGAGGGAGCTCTGTTGTCTCTGTGGAATCCACAAAGGGTTGAGCTGCTAATCCAAAGATTCTCTGGGAGTTTGAATCCACCAACTGATTCTTGGGAGGAAGATGGGTATTCTCTTCCTGAGTGATTTACTGCTAGATAGGTCAGGACTGAATCTAGGGAAATGAGAGAAAGACAGAAACTGGCAGATGTGGAGTAGTAATAGGTTTTTCCCAACATTAACTGTTGCAAAAAAAAATCTTACATATGATGGATTTACAAAGTAACTGGGGCTATGGGGGGAGGGTAGGTGTGTCAGTCAGTGAGACTGGCTCAGGACAGGGCAGGCTTCAGGCCTTCTGTACATAGGTTTGCTATGAGTCATAAGTGACTCAACAGCACATAACAACATACATAAAATTGTTTCCTTTTATTTACTCTGAAGAAGCTGTGCTCACCTGCAAGAGAATTATCCACAGACCTATAAATCACACTCCCAGTGTAACAAAAATAAAGGAAATGAGAATCGCAATATCAAAGATCCTCATGAAACTCAATACAAAGTCTATTTTCAAAGCTCAAGCAATTAAGTACTTCCGTAGTCTAAAATTTCAAGCCTAAAAGCAAAAGGGGAAATCCAGAAACTCTACTGTCATGCAACTAATACTCCATTTATCATCATTTGGGGACTATAAATGTGGCTATGTTTCCAGACACACATATATACATACATGTACACATGTGCTTGATACATGCATATACTTACATTAAGAAGAATCAGGCTTTAGTACCTGTTTCTAGAAAATCATTCATCCAAACTAATTTATGTTTAAAGTAACTGTGTATTTGCATCTATCTATCTATAGATATATATCTCAAGATTGTTTATGACCTTATCATCATTTGTTTTCTTTTTTTCACAGTTTTCAGCCTATTCTTTCTTTACAACAGTAATAAAAATAATTGAAGTACAAAGCCACAGTAAGCAGTGTCATTTCAATATATACACAGAACAGAGTTAGAATAAATAATTACATTAGCTCTCTGCTAATCTCATTGCTATTGGAAACTTCTCCCAACTCTGCTCTTGTTAACTCCTGTTTGGGTTTTTCAATACTTTCATTATGAACCACAGCTTCGCTACTCTTGCTCTGAATGACAGATTCTAGAACAGGCTGATTAGATATGTTTCTAGTCATACTGGTTTTTGGTCGTAGAGAATAAGCTTCCTGGGTCTTTGCTGTCTTTTGGCAGAACTGGAGATGAAAAGCATCTTGGAAACCACGACGGAAATTCTCATTGAAGAATCCATAAATGATGGGGTTGACACTGCTATTGCAAAAGGCCAGCCAGTGTGCAAAGGGGTAGATGTAGATGTTGATGACATGGAGCTCAGCTGCAGACAGGTCTGCATAGTCCGAGAGCATCATCAGAGTCCACAGAGGCAGCCAGGAGAGAATGAATAGTAAGGCCACGATCAGGAGCATCTTAAAAACCCTCTGCTTCTTCTTGGACACTGTGTGCCGCTGCTCCTGGTTCCGCTTGCTCACATGAGAAACTGTGGTCTTGAAGAGTGAAATGCCAATCCTTCCATACATGACGACAATGAGCACCAGTGGAGTCAAGTAGATGTTGACAAACAGCACAGTGGTGTAGATCTTCCTCATTTCCTGATTGGGCCAGTCTTCCCGACACCAGTAAACTGGGCTGGTTTTATTCTGCACATAGAATCTGACTTGGTAATATTTTTCTTCTTGTACATGTAACATTACTGCAGATGGCGACATAATTATGATGGCCAGGACCCATATTATCACAATAATGATGAATGCTGTCTTGATAGTGAGCTTTGGCTTAAAAGGATGGACAATACATCGGAACCTGAAATTAAAGACAACTAGCGTGAGATGCTGTCTAATAACTTTGGACCAAATTTTGAATAAAATTTATCTACATAATCATGCATCTTTTATCCACTTGTATTCTGCTGAAAAACAGTAGTAGAGACTATGCATAGTCGTTTTTTTCCTTTTATACTGAGATAGCCTTAAACTTGAAATGCAAGTATGTGGAGGCTATTACCAATCATAAGAGTAAAAATAGTAACTCAATGGCAACTAACATTTATCTCCTTTTACACTAGGCTATCAGGGCCCCCTCATTGTCTATACCCACTTACAATTCTATTTCAAACATTTTTTTCATAAGTTTCATCCTTAAGACTCACCATTTAAAAGATAAAAAGTGAGTTTAGAAAAGGTAAAATCCTTGTTGGTATTTACATACGTAGCTTGGCTACAGCACCCATATTCTTCTTTTGTGCTCTGTTTTCTTTATGCAGATGGCACAACCTTGCATGATAAAGGTGAGAAAGACTTGAAGTGCTTGCTGCAGAAGATCAAAGACTGCAGCTTTCAATATAGATTGCACCTCAGTGTCAAGAAAACAAGAACCCTCCCCACTGGATCAATAGGCATGATACCAATATATCATGATAGACAGAGAAAAGATTGAAACTGTAAATGACTTTATTTTACTTGGATCCACAATCAGTACATATGAGTATGAGCAATCAGGAAATCAAGAGATGTACTGTATTGGGAAAGGCTGTTATTAAGGACCTCTCCAAGTTACTGAAAAGCAATGTTGTCAGTTTGAGGGCAAAGGTATGCCTGATTCAGTCCATGGTCTTTTTTATCACTTGCTATGCATTTAAGAACTTGCTATGTTGAAAAAAAAAAAAAAAGAACTTGCTATGCATTTAAGGACAATGAATAACATGACAGGAGAACAATTAATGCCTTTTAAGTAGTGTTGAAGAAGAGTACTGAACATCCTATGGACTGCCAAAAGAACAAACATATATTTCATGCAGAGGGTGCCGGCAAAGATGATAAAGCTTCATCTTGCATACTTTGGGCAGGTTGCTAGCAGAGACTACTCATCAGAGAGGAATATCATACTTGGGAAGGTAGAGATAGGGACAGTGAAAGAACGAAAGACCTTCAATCAGGTATATTGACACAGTAACTGCAGCAATGGGCTCATGTATGTTAGAGGTTGTGAGGATGGTATAGTATAGGATAGGGTTCAGGTCTGTTGTTTATAGCAGCTTTATGAGTCTTATTTGGCACAATAACACCTAACAACAACAATGACCTTACTAGACAGCTCACTCAATAGAGTTGAATTGATGGTGATCCACAAATCATTCCTTTCTCAGTCCCTTTTGGGATTCTGTCCCATATTATCTGGGAGTTTGGCCATATAGCTTGCTTTGGACAATGGTATACTTAACAAGTATGATACAGACTGAAAATTTTGATGTGCTTGCACACTGAAACTTGTCTTTTTGGAATACTTTCCCTTGAAAACTGGCAGATTGTAAAAAAAAAAAACCCTCAAAGTAGATCGAGACCTCATGGAGTGAGAGACAACACAGGGTGACTGGCTGGCCATCTTGTTCCTTCTCTAGTTTTGCTCCTAAATGAATACCACATGATGAGCAATTTCATTTATGATATATGAAGCAGGGAATAAAATTGATGATTTCTACAGAATCATTGTCGGTAGAGAGAAATGAAACTAATGTTTTTAAGGTACTAGGTTTTTCAGTGGTTCTGTCACAGCTATAAAAATGTAGCTATTTTTAACACAAGTTCTGATTAATGGCCATTCTAGCTTTTGGCCTTCTGCTCAGCATGGGAATTCAGTGTTACTCTGACTTACTTTCTTCTTAATTTTTAAGAATCTTAATGTCATTACTGATGTTCATTAGCTTAATTACAAGTGGCCTAGTGGTAAGAAGCCACACTACAATCCTGAAGGCACATGGTTCGAATCCACAAGCTGCTCCATAGGAGAAAGATGGGCAATCTCTTCCCATGCAATTAACTACCTGTGGAAACCTGCCAGAGGGTAGCCATAGGTTTGTTTCAACTCGACAGTACACAACAACATATAACTGTAAGGCCATTGTTATGTGCCACTGAGTCATAGTGGACACTGTAGCAGGTTTTCAAAAACTGAAAATTACATGGAAAGAAATTGTTCATCTTTCTCCTGCAAAGCAGCTGGTGGATTTGAAACACATGCCTTTGGGTTAGCAGTGAAATTCCTTACCACCTGTTGTTCTTAGGTGCTGTCAGTCAAGTACAACTCACAACAAACCTATAAACAGTCAACCTGACACTTGCTCTACCCTGTGCTGTTCTCCATTTCTGGGACACCAGAGCTCATTGCTGAAGTTACAGTGCCAATCTATCTCATTGAGGGTCTTCCTTTCCTTTGCTGATCCTCCAATTTTCCAAGCATGATGTCCCTCTCCAAGGAATGCCTCACATAGCTATATGTCCAAAACATGAAAGATAATACTTTCCAATCTTTGCCTCTAAGGAGCATTCTTGCTGCATCCTCTCCAGGACACATGTATTTGTTCTTTTGGCTGTCCATGGGATATTCAGTACTCTTCTCTCATAATACAACTCAAAGGCATCAATTCTTCTTCTGTCATCCTTATTAACTATCCTGCTCTCTCATATATAGCAGGTGATTGAGAAGACCATGTCTGAATTAAGCACACTTTAGTCCTTCAAACTAACATCCTTGTTCTTCAGTAATTTGAAGAGACCCATAATAGCAGCCTTGCCCAATGCAATACAACTTCTGATTTTCTGACTGCAAAGCAAGGTGAAATCACTAAAAGCCTCAAATTTTTTCTCCTTCTATCAGGCATCTTAGGCAAAATGGGACATTCAGTCCCTGATCTGTGTCAGGCCCTTGTGACACTCAGGCCAAATAAACAATGCCAACATGCCACATGTAAAGGAGACATAGCTCTTACCTCAGAAATCATTGTATTGTGATAGCTATGTGGCGCAAAAGGGAAGAGAAGAGACACTAAACCACAAGACTACAGTCCTGGAGCAGAAGCTTACAGGCAAGACCCTTTTGAGGCAAGTATGACCTCAGGCAAAAATCATTCCCTGTAGCTGGTACATGGGATTTGGACTTCAATCCATCTAAATGTTACATAAGAATCAGTGTGAAAGACCAACAGCATTAGGAGGTACAAGCCATCACAGAAGTGACTAGTTGCCAAGCCATCATATCAAGGAGAGGCTGGGGGAGGGAGATGATGGGGGAGGGTAGGCAGAAGTGCAAAGGATGCTGATGTAGCAGGAAAAGGGAAGGGACAAGACGCACATGACAAGGGAGGAGGGACCACTGAATGTATTGGTTATCTCTTAAAGGGGAATCATCTTTCATCTACCCCTTTCAGTAAAATGCTTGTCTGTCAGATATTCTTTAAAAGCTAAGCACACAAAATTAAGATAGAGTAGGAAGAAATTGGCCATCCACTTCTGAAATAAAACAGGACTTTTAAAAACTCTATGTATAATAGAGCATATTTAGAGTAAAATAATAGATATGGCAACTGAGACTGAACCCTTAAATTTGGGAACACAAAGCAGAACAACTGTTATTAACAGAAACTAATTCCTGATGTGGAATGTGAGAAGCATGAATATAGGAACACTGGACATCATTAAAAAGGAAATGGAATGCATAAATATTGATGTATTAGGTTTTGGCAAAATGAGTTGGCCTGGAATGGACATTTCGAATCAGATAATCATTTGATCTATTGTGCTGCAGATGAAAAGATGAGAAAAAACTGGGTCACTTTCATAGTTAAAAAGGCTGTTTCTAGGTCCATTTTGAAAATAATGTTGTCAGTGACAGGATAATATCTACACACATACAGCGAAAATCTGTTAGTACCACTATCATTTACATTTATGACCAACAACCAGAGCCAAAGAGGAAGAAATAGATGATTTCTATGAACTTTTGCAGTCAGAAATCTTGTAACCAAGATACATTAAAAATAATTGATGACTGGTATGCAAAAGTGGGAACCAGGAAGAATGATCAGTAGTTGGCAAACAGGGAGTTGGTGACAGAAATGAGGCTGGGGATAGAATGCTAGAGTTCTGCATAATCAATGATTTATGCATTGCAAACACATTTTATAAAAAACATAAATGTAGGCTATATACATGGATTTTTCCTGATGATAAACACTGAATAAGAGAGATTATATTTGTGGAAGAAATCATTGGAGACATTCAGTATCAGCAGTGAAATCAGCCAGGTGCTGATTGCAGAAAAGATCATCAACTACTCATATTCAAGTTCAAATTAAAGCTAAAGAAGGTCAAATCAATTCCACAGAAATAAAAATTTCATCTTGAGTCTATCCCACACGAATTTAAAAACCAACTCATGAATAGGTTTGAGGCCTTACACACTAATAAACAAAAACCAGATGCCAGGGAGGATATCAAGAATATCACCCATGAAGAAGGCAAAAGGTAATTACAAAGACAGAGGAAGAAGAAAAGACCAAAATGGACGTCAGAAGAGACTCAGAAGATTGCACTAGAGCGATGAGAAGCCAGAGAAAAAGAAAGAAATCAAGATCAGGAGTTAAATAGAAGATTAAAAGGTCACCTCAGGAAGACAAAACAAAGTATTAGAATAAAATGTGCACGGAGCTGGAGTCAGAAAATCAAAAGGGTTGAATTCTCTCAACATTATTCAAGCTAAAAAAACTAAAAGAACAAATTCAAGCTGTATGTTTCAATACTTAAGGATGCTATAGGCAGAATATTGAATGATCCAGCAAGCATTAAAAGAAGATGGCAAAAGTATATACAAAGTCACTGTACAAAAAGAATTGGTTCACACAGAAAATTTAATAAAATAATATATGATAAAAAGGCAGTGGTGATGAAGGAGAAAGTGCAGGCTTCTCTGAAGGACTTAGTAAAAAATAAAGCCCCAAGAATTGATGGAATACCAATTGACATATTTCA